GCTAATGAAAAAATATTTTTAGTAAATTTTTCGACTTTTAAATTTTATGTATTTTAAATTATCAAATTATCAGAACTGCTTAAGATGCTGTCAGCGTTGCAGCGGTATTTGGTATTCCCATCTTAATAAACAGTTAAAAAAAAGAAAAAAGAATTAAAATTATTATTTGTTAAAATAAAAGACAAAAAATAGCAAATTTTTATACGATAACCTTAAACTACAGTATTTTTTAAATGCCACAAAAACACTTTAAAATTATTAAATTATGAATTATAAATATAAATAATAGCAACAACGACAAGAAAAAAAAAAGTTTAGTTACCCGAGCAGCAAATTGAATATCCTCCATACCACAGGCTTTAAGACAAACGTTGCCTGGAAAAAGTCCGGAGTTATGCGAATCAGTAGAAGCCTCGTTGCTGCCCAGCATACTTTTGATGCCGTGAACGGTACGAGAGACGTCCGAAAAGAGCTGTGAAAGATCGATCTCCTGCTCGCCGCGAGACATCTGCTCAACGTACCTTTCTTATAATTTTCGTTTCTGAATCAAACAAAAAAGCCAAATATAACAAAGTGTCTTTGTCTATGCAAATTTTCAAGAAACAAATAGACAATTTACAAATACCCTAAAAATCAAAAAATAGGACCAACAAAAAACAAAAAAAAATTTGCCCGTTGCTAAGCAAAATCACTTTCGAAAAACGCTCAACAAAATATGACAACAAAATTTATAACATCAAAACACAGAAAAGTATCAGTCCGTTATTAGCAAATCCATTTGTTATGTTTGCTTATTTATTTATTTATTTATTTACCAATAATTGATTACTGTTCAAGGCAAAAAAAAGAAAACCTCCCTGTCTTACAATACATACTCATAAGCAAATACATAAGTACTTAGTAGTGACTAGTGAACACAACAGTAACACCAATAGCAGCAGATTTAACTGAATCACTGATAAAAGAAGAAGTTAAAAAAAAAATTGTTATATTTGCAAAAAATAACTTTGCTCTTATATAGCCGTCAGTTTATTAGTGCAAAGATGTTGTTCAAAAGTTGTGATAAAAAATATAACACAGTTACAGCAACGTTTCAAATTCTTTGAAAAAAGATAAAAATAAACATATTATTATCAGTATTATTATTATTATTAT